GAGGTTTGAAGGTCTATAGCCATTGCTATATTTATCAACAATATATATGCTACATACATTATTTAATACTTACAATGCCTCTATGAGGTAGGAATTATTTTTCTTACAATCTTTCTGTATATTTTATTATACCTTTTATGAATGAAGAAACTGAGACTTGAAGAAGTTAAATGCTTGGGTCAAAAACCTTAAGTCTGATGACAAAACACATGCTCCTAAAGAAAATATAGTTTTTCCATGGAAACCACACCACAGATAGATGGAATTTAAAGCCACAGATAGATGGCATTTGAGGTCACTCAGGAAGGGTATAGTTTTAAGGTGAACAAGAGAAGTCAAAAAGTGGCATTCTAAGGAAGCCAAGAGTGAATTGTCTAGAGTGAATTGAGTAAGATGACATCAGCAAAGAGATCGAAAAAGAGTGGCCAGAACAGCTTTTATAAATTAGAAGTATGGTATCTTCTAAGTTAAAGTAAAAAAGGAGGTCTCTAATTCATAAAGTTAAATGTTGCAGATCTCATGGAGGATGAGAAGTTGACAATTATAGGCTACTAGTCATCTTACTGCAGTTCATAGAAGAAGCCAGAATACAAAGTGGGTTGAAGAGAGGGAGATGAGGAAGTGGGAGCAAGCGTGTATGGGACACTATTCCAGAAGTTTTATAAAATAGGGGGGAAATTATGTCTTATACACAAGCAAGAAATTTATCAATATTATTTAATTGATTAATTAATAACTCATTGCTTCCATATTACTTGGATTTTACACTTCCACCATTTTTCTGGTTATTTCCTTCTACTCCTTTCATACCAATGTCCCTTCCCGAGTTGGACACACCTGGAGACACTGAATGTTATTTATTTTGGTTGTGGACAACTTGTTTTATTTGGTTTTGTGTTTTGAATACCTCAGGCAATTCTATCTCTCTTTGGAGGACAGGCCATAGACACTCCCTGCCCCAACTCCATCGTCTGTTTTCCACAAAGATAGATAAGCACTCATTTTTCAGACCAATTCAATGATGCGGAAAGTTGTTAGGTTCTTTCCCCACCCCACCTTCTCTTCAGCACTCCTAAGGTTCTTAACAAACCAAGTACTTTATCTCCCTCGCCTCTCCATGTCCCTTGGTGGGCAGATCTTGGAGAAGAAAGAAACTGTCACTCCAAACCTTCTGGGATATTGTGTCCCAGTTGGAGAGTCTATCTGACTTCATGTGACTGAAACCTTCTCTTGCCAGTCCTCATCAATCTATTTCTTTCTCAGAGGCAGTTGGAGAGTAATTAACATCGCCGTCCACCTGTGCATAGGAAGATGCCCACAGCCACGCCAGCAATGATGAAACTGCCCACCAGGACACCCAGGACCAGTGAAGTGTAGGAGCGGCCTCTTTGACTCCCTGCAGAATACGCAGAGAATTAGCTTAAGAATGCACCCTGCCCCAGGAGTCCATGGGTTGAGTTAAACCTCAAGGGATTTCTGTCCCAAAGTAAAGGGGCCACCAGTTCACTCTGTGATGTAAACTGTGTGTGCTCTGTCCCCTACCACCAGCCCCAAGGCCTCTTGTTCAAGGTATCCATCCTTCAGTACCATCAGTTTGATGGGAACCTGCCCCCTCCCCAATACAGGACCAGCCCAGTACCCTGGTACCTTTGGAATTGTCTGTGGCGATCTGTTTGTGTTGCTGCACATACTGAACACAGGTATGCTGTAGGAATTCCTGCAGTTCATCTCGAGTGCGATTGTAGGCATTGAGCTGCTTCAGAGTAAAGGTGACCACTCTGGAGGGTTCCCCGGGGGCTGCCACCCACAGAGCTTTCTCTGGCTTAAAACTCACAAAGGAGCTTCCATTCACAGCCACTTCAAAGAAGACTCGGGCCTCTGAATCCTTGGAAGGCAGCTCACAGCCCAGGAAGCAGGTGACAATGAGAGGAACTGCAGAGAGGGACTCAGGGTCAGGGTGCTGTGTAGAGAGGAAGCCAGGTGCTGGGGGCTGTCCACCATGGGGAAGAGGACATGGTAGGGGGCTGTAGGGAGAAAAAGGCTGGTGGGGGGGGCTGTGAGGAGATGGGAGGGGTCTGGAGTTAGACTGCTAGAGGCTGTGTAAGGAGGGGCCGGGGCTCTGAAGAAAAGGGGGACTATTAGAGAAAGAAGTTGGGACTTCCAGGAATGGGAGTGGAAGCTTCCAGAGAAGAAATTGGGGTATTTGAGGGGAAGGGTTTGGAGGTTTGTGGGGGACACGTGAGCAAAATCATCAGCGTTGGTGAGGATGGGTGGCTGGAGAGTTAAGGAGGAAAGGTTGGGGTTGTGTGAAAGGAAGGGTGGGGGGTCTGTGAAGGAAAAAAGAGGACTGGGAGGCAAGGAATGGGGAGTTGTCAGTGAAACATCAGGGGCCAGGGTGGGTCAGGGACACTACCTCCCAACAGGGTTCACCCCAAGAGGTCACGCCAGCCAAAAGAGGGTCTGATGAGGCGCCCTCTTAGCTAGAACACGGGTTCCTCTCCAGCCTCCAGCTCCCACCCAGCAATCTCCCTGGGCTCAGGATGCCACCCAGGACCCAAAGCAGCTCCGCCCCCACAAAGGCCACGCCCACTTGCCCTTGCCCACCAGCAAGATCCCCTCCCTAGAATACGGTCCTTCCCTCGAAGCCCCACCCCAATTCCTCAGGCCCCGCCCCCACTTCCCGTGGAGGCCGCCCGCCCACCGCGCTCAGGCCCCGCCCCTGGCGCGTCCCCCTACTTACAGGTGACGCCTTGCTTCCGTTCCTGATGCACCAGTCGCACGAGGCCTTGAAACTGGCTCAGGTAGAGCTGCAGGCTGCTTTCCGTGCGTGCCCAGCTCTCGGGATCCTCCAAAGGCTGCAGTTGGAGGATCGTGACGTTGTTGCCCGGGCCTTCCAGCGTGTGTGTCAGCTGTCCACTCAGCGACGCGTTGCCCCGGTACCACACGTGATAGGGGTCGCGGAAGTAGGAGATCTGGAGCATGTGGAGGCTCTGTGGGCCTGGGGGCAGCGTCAGCGCGTCAGGGACACTGGCGTTGGAGCTGGCGGCTGGCAGCGGGAGATAATAACTCCCTACTCAAAGGCCGGCTGCCCACCTACTTGACCCTATAAAGTGCCCAGTTTTTGATGCTGACAATAACCCAGTCAGGAAAACAAGACAGGGATTATTATCTTCACTTAACAGATGGGGAAACTGAGGCCTGCAGCTGAGAGACACACCCTTCTTTGGTTTCCTTTCTCTACTCCCTCTCCCCATTTTTTTGGTTGGTCATCAAACCCTGACCTACAATAAAATCCCAATTCCATCTCCTGTTACCTGTCTCCTATGTCTCTGCCCTAGTTCAAGCCTTTTCAATTCTAATCTGGACTCAGGTAGTAATTTCTTACCTCATCCTTCTGCACTCATTTCTTAGTTTTATTCCTTCTGATTGGACCTCCACCTGACCCAGGGATTAGAGCTAGTCGGTCTCAAAGGCCTCCAGTGAGGGATGGGGATATAACTCAGTTGGTAGAGTGCTTGCCTTGCATGCACAAAGCCCTGGGTTCAATCCCCAGCATGCTCCCCCACACACAGTTCTTCAGTGATACATCCCTCCCCCTCATAATAAAAAATAATCATAGTTTAATATCCATTAAGTGATAATTAGGACCTGGATACTGTGCTTTACACATATTATTATCTTATTTGTGACTTCCCCTGAGGAGTTAATGGAGTAGCGACTGTTATTAACCCTAGTGTATATGGAAGGCAGGCTAAGATGGTATAGCAGAACTAAAGTCAGTCTGCTGTGTTGCCTCCCCATAGATACCTGTCCACAGGAACAAGTCCAGTGACCTGGTCCTAGCTGCATTTTCTGGCCTCTTCCCAGAACTTAGATATATCAAACTATTTCTGTTCCTCATGCTTTTGAGTGACATGTAAATACCATGTCAGAGTTGCTCTGCTTCCGTTGTTCTGCCTGCCAAATTTCTCTTGATGTTTCAAGATCTGGCTCAGTTGCCCTCTCATTTTTATCCTCCCAGACACGTGGATCTGTTTCAGGGTCCTAGACCATTTTGTGCTAGCATGTATTTCTAGGATTCCAAGTGGAAGTCTCCAAACACACACTGTCTTCAGTGGACTCCTCCAGGCTATGGAGCCATAACTAGAACCATATGAGTCTAGTTATCTCTGAGAGTCTCCTGCACCCAGAAACGGGCCTGGCACAGAGTTGATGCCAAGAGAATTTTTGAATGAGTGTGGGTTTGAAATTAGTGTATGTGTTTTGTCTGCATTTGCATTTGAGAAGTTGTGCCCTGTGTCTGCAGGTGTGAATAAATGTCTCTGTGTGAGTAACTTTAGACATGGTCCTTAACTTCTCTGTGGCCCAGTTTCCTTCTCTGTAAAATGCACAGAATATCACCCACTTTGTGGGATACTATGGGGAATCAGTACATGTATTAAGCAGCAGACATTCATTGAATACTGGTTATTATTTGCTTCTTCTCTGAGGGGGTGATTGAAGCTATAGGGATTGTCGGAGAGGAGAGAGGAGCTCCTGTGTAATTATAATACAGGGCCACAACTCCCCTTTTCTGCTGAAATGGGGCCACTTTGAGCAGCCTGATATCTATGAGTTCTATTGATCACAGCTTCTACCACCCACCCCAATTCCACCTTATCAGTTGCACCCAGTCTTCCTCCATCTTCCTCAGTCTTGGTTTCTGCCCTACCTGTCTCAGCCTGTCAGTTCTCCCAGTGTTGTCCCATTCCCTCCATTGCTCTTCTTATCTTTTCCCATCTTCCCTAGACTTTCCCTTATCTCTATCACCCTCTGCTCTCCCTCTGCAGGCTTCACGTCCTTTCTCCCTCCCTCTGATGCTGGTTCCTTCACCCTCTACCAGTCCCCATTCCTGTTTTTCCAGTCCTCTGATTTCCCCAAGGCTTTTCCAGTTCCTCCTTCCCAGAGACTTAACTGTACTTCAGTTAAGTCTTTGGGACACAAAACAGCGCCCTGGACTTTGCCTGCTCTAGAGAGATCCAGCCGGCTGCAGACACAGATGCTGTGGGATTAGATCCCCTCTAGTCTTTTCCAGGTACCCAGATAGACTGAGAGTCTCCAGAACCAAGCCAGGCAGGAGACATGCCCCCAACTCACCCTCTGAGGCTTCCTGGCTACAAAAGACCCAGCCAGGCAGCAGTAGTAGCGGCAGCAAAGTTGTCAGCATCCTGAAGTTCTTGATTCCCCCCCTGGGCTCCCGGCGGGGTCAGGCTGGGGGGTTCCACTGGCTGCAGCCGGGGGGAAAGAAGTGAGGCTGTCTGGGAACAGGCAGAGGTTCAGCAGAGGATAGAAAGAGGTCAGGGAATGTCAGGAGGAAGAGGGTGTTAGGCTTTTAAAGTGTTATTCCTACTCTGCCTCATTTCCTACTAGGGGGCCGGCCTCCCTTTGCCCTCCCTCGTCCCCGCCCAGCATTGCGCCCTACTGCCCAGACCTGCCTTTTCCCTTAGCCCAGGGCTGCTTCCCAGGGAGCGGAAAAGGGGGAGAAGGGCTTGCTGAGAAGTTCCGCCCGCGCTGAGTCAAGTGGTGGGTGGGGCATCTGCTTTCAACTTACCGCAGACTCCAGGGTGTAGAGATCAGCAGGTTACGGATGGGGAAATTGAGGCCCGGGGAGGAAAGGGATTTGCCCAAAGTTTATACATCATGGTGGTGACAGACCCAGGATTAGAATTTAGTTTTCTAGGGTATTCGCCTACACTTCATCAGAATTTTAAGTATGTAGCAATTACACAATCAGGGATGTTGCAGTAAGAAATAGTCACAAATTGTGCATAAAAGAGCTCATTGTTTGAGCTGGGCGCGGTGGGCACACACCTGTAATCCCAGCGGCTGGGGAGGATGAGACAGGAGGATGGAGAGTTCAAAGCCAGCCTCAGCAACAGCGAGGCGCTAAGCAACTCAGTGAGACCCTGTCTCTAAATAAAATACAAAATAGGGCTGGGGATGTGGCTCAGTGGTTGAGTGACCCTGAGTTCCATCCTTAGTACAAAACAAACAAACAAAAACAAATCAAAAAACCAACCAACAAACAAAAAACTCATTGTTTGTAATAGGAAAGCATTATGAACAATCTATGTAAATCTCAGGACAGGGTTGGTTACATAAAGCAATATTTTCAAACCGAGGTCATAAACTATTAGTGTACAATGAAAACAATTTAGCGCGTCATGATTAACATGTTTTTTAAAAAATGAAATAGAACAGAATAAAATTTTCAATGCATCACCCTGAGTAAGCATTATATCATGAAATACTATTGCACAGTATGAGTGTTTTGGTTTTGTGTGTGTATGTTTCTATTATGGGTTTTGGATAGCACTGTGAAATGTAGTCCTTCTCTACGAAGTAGAGAAGTTTGAAAGTCACTCCCCAAAATATGATTATTCATACTGTGGAGAGTATGCCCTAGATTGAAAAACCTTTAACGAATCCCCACTTTATTTTAGTCATATTACTTAGCACTACCTGAAATTATATTACTTATTTACACGTTTATTGTATGAATGTCCACCAGGATTATATCCATGAGGATAGAGGCTATCTTGTGCCATACTGTTTCTAGAATTGCAAACATCACATAATAAATATCAGTTAAATGAATGAATGAATGAGATAGTTATGCTGGGCTTGGATCTCCATGAGTAAGTGCAGAACATTAGGTACAATTTAGAACCATTTATATGCCAACCACACACACAACCACCAAGCAGCCTGTTAACGGGAGTCAATGAATCTGGAAGGATGTATATCTGATACAGCAATGGTTTATCTCCAGGGAGGGGCCTAGGATTAAAAGTATATATAAGTGTGTGTGCGAATATGCAGAGGGGAGTGAGCCATCTTGTGAAAGCCTTTATCACTCTATTTTGTGAAGGTTTTTATCACTCTATCTGTATTCTTTGAAATGTCTACATTTACATCTAGAATGTTCCTATATATTTATTATTAATTAAAAATAAAAATTTTGGGCTGGGGATATGGCTCAAGCGGTAGCGTGTTCGCCTGGCATGCGTGCGGCGCCGGGTTCAGTCCTCAGCACCACATACAAATAAAGATGTTGTGTCTGCCGAAAACTAAAAAAATTAAAAAAATAAAAATTTAGCAGGGCATGGTGATGAAGGCTTGTAATCCCAGCAACTCGGGAAGCTGAGGCAGGAGGATTGCGAGTTTGAGGCTGGTCTCAACAATTTAGTGAGAACCTAAGCAATTTAGTGAGACCCTATCTAAAAAATAAAAATTAAAAGGACCTGGAATGTAGCTCAGTGGTAGAGTGCTTCTGGGTTCAATCCCAGTACTGCAATCAATCAATCAATCAATCAATCAATCACAAAAAATTTAAACGCTAACTTATGGTACATCACTATAGATGAATACTCTGCTGCTGTGGAAGAAGTTGGCAGGTCATTATGAGCTATTTTATTGCTATGGAAGGATCCATGAGACCTTGATAATAAAAAAGGAAATGTGGAAAAGTATGGATAGTATAATTCCATCTATTATTTACTTCCATTAATGGAATACATTTATATTACTTATATAATATTTCATATTTCCTCATATTAAAAAACTTTATGTGTCTATTTGTTTATTTGAATATACATAGAGAAATGTCTGGAAGCATACTGGCAATACAGAAGAATCTGAGGAAGAGGATTAGATCAAATCCTTATGGGAGGATTTTAACTTTTTATTTTATTTACTTCTCCCTAGAGAGAGTTGACGTCATAGTGAGTTCTGGGGCAAACCCTGGCTGTGTATCAGGTTCCCATGCCCTGAACTGAAGATTTGTAAGAGCGTCCATGCTCACTTCTCAGATTTGCAAAGTAACGAGGAAACAGCATCCAAATCTTTTTCTTTTTGTAGCCCACCAAAGTGATCTAGTTGGAAGAAGAACTCTTGGTTCCCAAAATTGGAACTCAAGAGAAATGAAGTGCCTTAAATCATGACCAATTGCACTGTTTCTCTTTTATTAAAAATTATTATGAAATATTGCATATTTGAAGAATTATTTCATACTCAAAGAATTATACTACAAACACATCTATCCTCTCCTACCCAGAAATAAAGAATAAGAAATAAATTGGGGCTGGGGCTGTAGCTTACTGGGTTCGATCCTCAGCAACCACATAAAAATAAATAAAGGCAATCTGTCCATTTATAACTACAAAAAAAAAAATTTAAAAGAAAGAAATTGAAACTCCCTCTGGAATCTTCCCCAATCACCTCTCTTCCCCTACCTCAGCACCTGAATTAGTCACTTCAAATGAAAATTTAATATTTCCTAGTATTCTATAAGCATAAACTACACGTGCACATATCCCCACACAATCTATAGTGGTAATTTGCACTTTATTTGAGTGGTATTAAAATGTATATATTCCTATGCAACTTGCTTTTTTTTCACTTACCATATTAATAAGATCCATCCACGTGCTGAGCAGTCTATTAATTTTCACTACTTAGAAATATTCCATTTTAGGGGTTGGGGTTGTGGCTCAGTGGTAGAGTGCTCACCTAGCACATGTGAGGCCCTGTGTTTGATCCTCAGCACCCCATAAATATAAATAAATAAAATATAGATATCGTGTCCAACTACAACTAAAAAATAAATATTAAAAAATATATTCCATTTTAGGAATATGCTACAATTTATTTATCCATTTTCCTGTTGTTAGACATTTAAGTTTTTGCTTTTTACAAACAGTACTGATTTGAACATTTTTTATACAAGATTCCTGTGTGTATGTGGGAGGGTTTTTGCAGGTGCGAGCCTGGGAGTGGACTGCTGAGTCAGGGTGCATGCATCTTCAGTTTTACTACATATTGCCAAATGGTTTTATAAATTGTGCCAATTTGCATTCTCAGCCGTGTATAAGAGTTCCCTCACTTCACATCCTTGCCAACCCTTGGCACAGTCAGATGGTTGGGTGTAAAATGGCACTTCATTTTGGTTTTTGCTTGCATTTCTGTGATGCTAATGAGCTTGTGCATCTTTCAGCTTTGCCTTTTTTTTTCTCCCTGGAAGGCTTGAAGAGTGTTTGGGAATGAAGGGTAATAAAGTATGTGATTGGCTCATTTGAAATTGAGTGCTGTGAATCTTTGATCTAAGCAGGTAAGGCTTGGTTCACTCAGGTTAAAGTGGACCCACATCACCCTCCACAGAGGCCTTTCACACAGAGGTGCAGTCTGTCGTGGGAAGAGGTGGAAGCTGCAATAGCTATCTCCTAGGCATCTTCCTCACACACCAGAGCCCTGAAAATTAAACACTATTTTTTTTTAATGGATAACACATATTATGGACCAGGAACAGTGTTCAGCTCTTTACATAAATAAAATCTCACTTTAGCTAGGCGCTATAGAGGATGCCTATAATCCCAGCTGCTTGGGAGGCTGAGGCAGGAGGATTACAAGTCCAAGGCTGGTCTGGGCAATTTAGAGAATATGTCTCAAAATTACAAATTAAAAAAGGGCTGGGTTTTGTCATATTTAATATGTTCATGTGTATATACATGTATATATATATGAAAAGAGAGAATATAAACTATTTTTATTTTGAAATTCAATTCCTTTATTGGCAATTCTGTGGTTTTAGAACATAGTATATTTTGCTGGATGAGGTGGTGCACGCCTGTAATTCCAGCATCTCTGGAGGCTGAGGCAGGAGGATCACAGGTTCAAAGCCAGCCTCAGAAGAGTGAGGTGCTAAGCAATTCAGTGAGACCCC